TCATGTAAGGAAAAAGCCACAGCTCCAATGTATTATGCTCCCCAGGGCTGCCCAGGCTCTGGGGCTGTGTATAAAAGGCCATGACAAAACAGAGATCAATGGTCTCAAATGGCAGCACAGGAAGTTTAGGTTGGATATTAGCAACCTTAGAAGCATGGTGAAGCACTGGAACGGGTTACCTAGACAGGTGGTGAAATCTCCATCCCTGGAGATTTTTAAGGCCTGGCTCGACAAAGCCTTGGCTGGGATGATCTAGTTCGGGATGGTCCTGCTTTGAGCAGGGGGTTGGACTAGATGGCCTCCTGAGATCCCTTCCAACCTTAATTTTCTATAATTCTATGATGAATTGGTCTCCACTCCCTTTATCAGGCTTTTATTTCTTGCACTGTCACCTCCACTCCTGACTAAGTAATGGGAAACACCAACCAGCTCTAGTAGTTATTTCAAAAGACAGTCAAGTATAAAGAGCCCAGAGAGTGACATAACAAAGTCAGAGAGACAGAGAACATGTCCAAGACTGTTGGGGCTCCAGATGTTTGATCCAAGAAGGGGCAGATCCAGCTGGACCTCCCAGCTCTTTCCCATTACAGATCCTCAGCACGTGTCTGCATCACACATGTATTTTCCAGCAGAGACCTCCCCCATATGGGAATACCAGCATGCAGCATCCATCAGCAGGTATCTCCCCTGGCCAGCAGTAAATGTACATGCCCATAGAGTTTGCAGTTCATAAGCCAACTGTATGTGTTCAGACTTGCGTGTGAAGAGCTGCACACCCAAAAAGCCACTGGCCATGCACAGTAGCATGAAGCTTTATTGGGCCTACAAGCTCAGGAGCAATGCCACACATTCTGAGTGCCACTGACTGGCACCTTATCTAACTGTGCCTTCTCATGAGTGCTCTTATCATAGCCTGTGAGCTCTACAGGCATACTGCAAGTGTGTAGCATGCACTGAATGGCTGCATCATGTGTCAGATAAGCCCAGTCCGTGTGAAAGGACACTGCCAGTCACTGCACACGGAAGGAGGAAATTTCATAAATTCATACCAGGGTAGAAGCTGCAGGCATGACAGATGCTGCAGGCAAACAGGTACTGTGTGTAGCCTGCCGCCTTTATGAGTCACTTTCAAAGATATTCTGCACACGTGGAAGAGGCCTGTGGCATAAACGTATTTTCAGAATGGGCTAACATCCCAGGCAGATGAAACTCAAGGGTGCACTCGCATCAGCAGATTCATTTCCAGGCCTAGCCCAGCCTTCCTTGGCTAGGAAGAACCACCCACACAGTCACTGTTAACATTGGCTTTCAGATGTGGCAGACGTTCCCTGGGGAACAGCAGACTCATTTACCTGCTTGTGCCCCTAAAATTCGAGCTTAGCTCGGCAAAGCCCCATGAATGCAGTATTCATAGCTCTCGCAGTCAGGGAGGAACTGCTGGCTGCGCACAGCTCCGGGTATACAGAGGCATCATTCTCTCAGCCAAGTCTGCTCCATCCTCACTTAGTAACAGTTTCCTACAGCCTGACTGCAAGAACAGCCCAGCACACAAACTGGGCTACAGCGATTGCTCCAGTGCTATACACATACCCCTCTCCACTCCTCCAGCCCCAGCCAGAGACTGCGTGAGGACCTTGGCAAAACTCACTCCTTTCTTACATATTTTCCAAGTCCCAACCAAGAGGAAGCAACAATTCACCGAACACCCAAGCTGGAGACATCACAGATTCTGCATTTCAAAACCGCGTCCTGAGAACAAACAAGCAGCAGGGATTCTCGCCACGCAGACAGAATCAGCACAGCCAAGAGCCTCTCGCAGCTCAGTCCCAGCACTGACACAGAGGTTTCCGCTCATACACGATGTTTCCCCCCTTCCTGGCCATCAAGCACAGCTTGCCAGAGAGTCTGACAGGACCCGCATGCAGGAGGTAACTTGGCCTCGCCAGCTCCATCATATCCGATGCGCTGTAAAAGACACAAAGCTGGAACCATGCAGACCTTTGGTCTGTCTCGCTTGCCAGCATCTTGTCCTGTAGCCTGGTATAAATCAGCATAACACCCCTACTTCAAGCAGGTTTACATGCTCTAAGGATCAGTCCTGTTCCTATTTTTTTTTACTTTCAGCCCAACTATGCGGTGCCTGGGACAACTGCTTGCAACAAAACCAAACCCTGGTGGGGATAGGCCCAATCTTGAGTGCTTTGCAAGCTGGGGGAGTTTATAGGACACATTGACATGCTGACCACTAAACCCTGACAGAGTGGCTCAGACCTCTCCCTTCATGTGCTCAACACCACCACGGTGAGAACACCGAGTACATTTCAGCCATGGCCTGAAATGCCTCTTTGTCGCCTCATAGTTACTAGAGACACAAAGGGCTTGTTGACACCGTTCCTGCACAAAGCCCCAGAGTGCCGCCCTATGGGCACTCCCCTCCCACTCCCGCACATGTTGAAAATGAGGCCACGGGGCCACCTTTGAGCAGCACTGGGAGCATGCTTGGTGCTGCCCTTTGGCCTGCTTAATGATGCATGCTTGGGGTTGCTTGAAAGCAGCCACGCTGTCTCACTTCTGGGGTCTGGCACATGTGGGATCAGGTGCAGCCATGATTCATGGACAAAGAGATAGTGAAGACAGGCACCGAGAGGGACCGACAAACAAAATAAGAGAGAAGCCCCAGGCCCCCAGCATTCTTCCCAAACAAGGGTTTCATTAAGAGCGCTAAAAGGCTTTGATACCCCACATTACAGGGGTCGGCAAAACGCGGCCCGCAGGCCAGATGCAGCCCACCAGGTCATTCTATCCGGCCCGCTTGGCCCCTAAAAAAAAATTTAGAAAATTAATATTTATCAGCTCCTGGCTGCCTGTCATGTGGCCCTCAATGGCTTGCCAAAAACTCAGTAAGCAGCCCTCCGCCCGAAATAATTGCCCACCCCTGCCACATGACAACCCTAGAAACCAGAAGCAGCAGAGGAGCAAAGGGAAGGGACATGGAGGAAGGGGGTGTGCAGTGCAAAAAGGAGCAAGGCAGTGGAAGGAGTATGGGAGAAGGAACATGCAGAGTGACAAGGGGCCCGGGAAAAGGATGCATGGAGCAGGTGGAGCATGGGGAAAAGGACACACAAAGCAGGGGGGAATGGTTGTGGCTCTGGCCCTGACCCCAACCCCAACCCTGACCCTGAATCCAGGCTGGAGCTAGAGCCACCTGCTGCCTGTGCCAGGTGCTCCATGCTCCCAGAAAAGATGGAGCCAGAGCCAAAGTAACTCCAAAGGTAAGTGGACAAGGGCAGGGGTCAAAGGGGATAGGCGCCAGTGGGGGACAAGTAGCAGAGTGGGAAAGCATTGGGAGAGGGAGAGGCAGCAGGGAGACAGGTGGGAGGAGGAGTGCAAGTGGCAAGGAGGAAACAAGAGGAGCGGGGCAGGCTGCCTGTCCCCAGCTACTGCTTTCCGTGTGGCAGTGGTAGGAGGATATGAATTTAGAAGGAATCTCCAATAACTAGATTTTAGACATGGAAAGGTAAAACAAATGTATAATTTTCCAAGGATCTCAAATTCAAAGACAGGTAAATATGGTCCCAGGTGACTTCCACACACTGGACTCCATTGGATTATGAAGGGTGACCACCTATGAATAAATGCTGATAGTGCTCCTACAACGTGTTGCAAAAGTCCAATACAAAGCAGGCGAAGAAAGGCAGGAAACGTGGACGTGGCAGTGTCAGCTTGCAAGAGGGAACTGGCCGACTTGATCAAAAGAATCCCATCTCTTCAACGTCCACAGCACACCAAAGCTGTTCCACTTTGTGGCTGCTTGACTTGCGATTAAAATGTAAGTCAGTAAAAGAGGAGTCCTCAGAGAACAAACCACATCCTAACAAATGAGCAGCAGCGTTGGTCAGTAATACACCAATGTTGGGTTCAATATGCAGACATCTCCCTTAAACTCTTCGGAGGTGCTCAAGCTTTGCATGTGTTGCAGGACTGAGGTCTGAGTGGACACCTAACAGTGTCTAGAAAGTGTAATCGCCAGCTCCTGCCCCAAGGGACTGTAAGAGTGGGACAACTGCAGTAATAATACTTGGCCAGAAGAGCTGATTCAGTAGATGACTTGATATCAGGCAAATGGATCCCTGGTGTAACTATGCAAACTACAAGGTATGTAAACTGGTGCAATTCTGGCCCATTTTTACTGTGGCTACTCAGGCCAAGCTGGAGACCGCAGACAAATTACAGCCCTGGTTACATCACTATATCTTAACAGAGACTGGTCCCTTCAGTTCATCTGGGCAAAGCCTATCTGGCCCAAGGTGTCATCTTTAATCAGCAGCTCATTCACCTAACAACACATGTTCCCTTCAGCATTTTTAAAGTGAACATGAGGCTGCTCCATCCATAATCAGGATTGAGAACAAGGGGCGATGGGTGAGGAGGAGGGTGAGGTCAGA